CTAGGGCAGGGCTACTTGAGAAAAATCTCTGCTTTTAATAAAGGTGACTAATTATTAGAGGAAATCTTTTCCTATTGCTTATCCTAATTTATGCTCCCAGAATTTACTAATTCTATGGGAGCCTGGACTTACTCCACCATGAATCATTCTTTCTAGGAAGACTTTTAGAATTTTACTCATCAAAATACTGTATCTGTAAGGAGAGGATTTGAAAATCAATTAAATTTTTGACTTGCAGCTATACACACAAAGTATTTAACAGTAGCAGGGGTTGGAGGTGTGGATATTGGCTATTTTAATTTTATTAATATTTTTCATTTTCTCAAACAAGGAACATGTGATGCTTTTACAATTACACATTTTTAGAAGTTATAGATACTTCTAAAGCCATTTTCTTAGGAAAACTCCTATATAATAAAAGCCTAATACGCTAAGTGTCCCATTGTCTGGTCATCCATTCAACCAATCAAAGCATAATATGGTAATGATATGCTAAGGCTGCTCAACAGCTCACTACAACGTGCACTGACCACCAGGGGGTGGACGCTCCAACCGGTAGGTTAGCTTGCTGCTGGGGTCTCTTATAAAAGTATCTTAATTTTTCTCTTTAGTTGATCATTCCAATATGCATGTAAATTTCCAATCGTTTCTTCCAGCATAAAAGAAAATGTTCCTTTATCTCATGTCCCTGTTAACTGGCACCACATTCTTTTACTCACTTGCACAGCAACACTAAAAAAATTATTAATATCTGATGTCTCCAATTCCTCTCATTCCATTCTCTATTCTCTCTTACATTCTCTCTCTCTCTTACACATGCACACACACACACATTCATGTTTTTTTACAATTTGCATGAGTGACATATAATATTGAAATTGTATAGTTCAATAAGTTTACACAAATGTATATACCTTTGAAATTCTTCTTCAAATGGAGATAAAAATAGTTCTATAAATTCAGAAAGTGTCCTTATTTCTCTTTGCAATCAATCTCCACACTTAAAAAAAAGTCAGTTTGCATTTTTATAACAATAGGTTAGTTTAATATGTTCTTAAATTAAATGTAAATATACTCAATAGTCCATAGACATATTCTTTTATGTCTAGCTTCTTTAGCTCTATATTATAAGGTCTGAAATTCCATGTGCTGCTTTGAAATCTTTGAGACTCACAGGACCTCTAAGGGTTAGCTGTGAGTTCTCCTGCTCTCACCATGTATGCTCCCCACCCAGTGTCCTTTTCATTAGGACCAGCTTCACTCTACCTGGTCCTCAACCTAAAGGGTTTTATTTCCCTGGAAGCCTGTGAAACTATTTAAACTAGCTACAGGTTAGTTTAAGGATATTTTTTACACTCCTGTATTCTTTATATTTTTCATTCTAATTCTTATATAATTTTATCAAGATTATTTAGGATTTGGGTGTATATTTATCTGCCTGTTAGATTATAAGTTTCTGTATCGAATGATAATGTTTTATTTACATTGTACCACCAGACTGCACATACATAATATATGCTTAATACATATTTGTTTAGTTGAATACTTAAATTTGATTTATACTTTGTGCTTGAATAATATGTTGAGAGGAGAGATTGCAGTTTATAAGAATGGAAAATAAAGTGGTGGTTCATCACTGAAATTTTTGAGGAGGGTGCCAAGAACTTTGAAACTAATTAAAGTAGGGTGTAATCCTG